GTCTTTACCATTACTTCTGGCCTGGCAAGGGAACTCCACTCGCAATCTGCGGGCCGCGAGTTCGAATCCCCGTCCCACCAAACGTGCTCGCCCTTTCAGCCGTGGGAGCGTTATAATGTGACGGTCAATCCCAATATTCGTTGATAAAAGAGTAGCCCAAGAGTTGGCGGTGGGTGGTGATGATTAGCTGCCTTTCCTCTAGCCTTACACTGCTAAATTAGGGACGGCTAGCGCAGATAGCCCTCGTGTAGCTTTGCGCGAAATTCAAAAAACAAAAAAAAACAAACCATTGTTTCTCATAACCTGTTACTTACTGGCTTGTATATACACTTTCGAATTTAAAACCCGAATAATTGGGCCTCATTCTAACTGAAACGTGATCTTGGCGACCCTCCTTACGATATGAAAATAACAAATATATAAATGAAGGATAACTACTTGTTCAGTGGCAGTAAAATCGAGAAATTTAATACATATATCCGTTTGTTATCTCGTGTAGTATTATGTTAACAAAATTAAATTCTGAATATTAAACGTAAGGGGGAGGAAGAGAAAAAGGAAGTGCTCGTATTCACTGAAAAGATGCAATTATTTGCACAGAATATAAAAACATTATACATAGCAAGGTCTTTAACAATTTCTACAAAATTGCGTTTATAATTTGTAGCGTAATAGTCCTTGAATTCTTTAAATGATATTTCATTTCAAAACATGCGTTTCATGGCCAAATCAGCCTCAGAAACTTGGATCCTGAAAACCGTATCGGACTAGTTAAGTATAATGTGCATAAATTATGTTTTGTTATTATATTTCATTATACTTCACGCATGTAGCTTAAAAAGTCACCATGATTCGAATCATTAGACTGGATATTTGTATATTTCTATAATTTTACAAACAACTTTTTCCAGCATGTTTCATCACTCTTATAATGCAGTAGAGTATCCAACAATATGGATTTAAAAACGCAACTAACATGCGATATGTTATTTTAAATAGACATTCATACAAGTAAATTAAACAAGATATAGGGCGATTTAACCCTGACCCTTTTCTGCTCGTCACCAAAGTGTCAGTATTAAAATAACGAGTTTAGTGCATACAACTAGCTTTACACGTATTTTAAAGAACACAATTGAAACGCCTAAAAGTGTTGTTAGCAGTAACAATGGTGAGGCCATCTATTTCTCCAAAGTTTCTGAATTCTGACAATCCCATATCAATAAAACGTACAGACATCGCTAATAAAAGAAACGTACAAAAGTTTTCTATGCTTCTGTCGAATCTGTTTCGTGTTTTTAATATAATAGTGTGCGTGTGTGTTGGAACAGAAGCGTTCAAATGAAACAGCGCTGAACTACAGTTACAGCTACGATATAAAGCCAGTTTTGTCAACACATTGTAGCATGTATGGCGTATTACTTTATACCATTCAAAAGCATCATCTTAAATAGAACAAAGAATTCGAAAAATAGAATCCTACATTATTTGTAAGTGATTTTGAATTTCATTGTTTGCTTGATTATAAGAAATTCGATGAAAATAAACAAAATTTGGCTGATTTGATGATGTCCACATATTCCTGGATTAATACATTATGCGAAAATAGAACAAAATAGCATAATCTTTTGGTATTTTTTTTTTTCTTTCTTCACTCGATCAGTTTTAGGTGTTTTAAGGAGATTAAGAAGGTAATAAATGATTTACCTAAATATGTAGTATTTTTTTTTTTTATTCCTGTAAACTCCCAGTGGAGCATAGGGCCGCAACAACACCTCGCCAACGAAAGGTGTTGTTGCAGTTACTTGTAGCAGGTTGGTTTTACGGGGTGGAGTTGCTAGCCCCGCTCCCAACCCTCCCCCTTTCTCATCCTGGACTTGGGACCAGGCAAAGGCGGAGGTTGGCATGTTTGGTGTGACGGGGATTCGAACCCGCGACCTTCAGATTACGAGTCGAGCGAAAATATGTAGTATACAACCTTTTTAAAGTTTATGTATATATTTACTGTTAAGTTGCCTAACATTTCAATACACTTGAATATGAATAACTGTAAATTCACATTTTCAGTCAGCCGAAATTAATTAATTAATTAAACAAGAGTTAATGTTTTAATATATACACACACACACATATATATATTTGTACACATTCGGTTTTTGATTCTATTTTCTTAACTGTGAAACAACACAGGCAGCAAGTGCGAAACAACATACAGTGTGAACGTCAAGGTCCAAAATAGACAACTTTGGATTTTATCATTTTTAGGGAATGTAATGATTGATTTTGAAAATATCTGGGCAGAGATATCATGAAATAGTATCAAATACTTGTAGACATATTAACACGTATATCTTGTATCTGATACTTTATATAAACATAATTTTTGTTTTTGTTTATAGTAACTGAATAACTGGTAATCATGAAGTTTGTACAAATAGCAAGACTTTGATAGCCATTAGTAGAATGAAACCAACTGTCGAGTGGTTACCTATGATATACACATAGATGATGATTCCTAGCCATGTTCTTGTTTTGTTTTCGATAAACTAAACGTTTATCAACTGAGAAAATATACCCTAGAGAAAAGTAATATACTTGCAATCAAATTATGATAAAACGTAGTTACCAACTTAGCGGATCTATATAATTAGTAATGTTTTAGGTACTATTATTAATGAGAACAACTAAGTGAAAGTAACGTACACCAGTCATTCCGTATATGCTTTATCTAATGCCGTCGAGACCTGTCGCATAATACTAAGCTCTTCAAGTGGACCGGGGTACGACAGACATAGTTAGTAGTGGTTGAGACATAATTGATGTTAGCAAATCACTTTACAACAACTGTTACAGTGTGTATTAAGTTGGTGAAGCGTAATTTTTCATAAAATGTACGCCCCAACACATCTGAGGTATTGTAAGGATTATTTAACACTATATTATTTATTTGTTTGAACACAATATATGCTATGAATTTTTTGAACTAACCGTATTATTTAGAAACACTGGTTAACCAGCAAGTTAGTCTTCAAGTAACCACAGTGGCGAAAGAAGATTATATTAGTAATAGTTCTTCTGAGTGAAAGTAAAAAAGAAAAAAAATACATATATAATATGTCAACCATACTGTATCTGCCAATATTCTGTGCCGACGAGGCATTTTGGCCAATTCCTGGGCTCTTCAGGCCGGCTGGATAGGACAGACATAGTAGTGCGTGGCTGAGACGCTATTTATATTATCAAACTACATGACAAAATATGAACCAGTAATGTTTCTCTTGAATTAAAACTGATTCATCAAATGAGGATACTGTATGGGCCATATCGTGTCAGTGCAGCTTCATGTTATTGTTTTTAATATTAGTAAGTTGAGCATTTGGGGGTATATCTGTTAATGGTCATATATTATTAAATGGCGACGTCTGTTGATTGTTAACCGATCTTTGCAGCATTTCAGAACCAGAAAATAGTGAACACTCTCGTCTTTTGTGTTTTACAGCCCTTTTCCATTCCTCAAACTTCCTACGGCATTGACGCTCAAATCGATATCGAGCAGCTGTTGTTTGGTAGTCACGTGAGGTTCCAATACAGATCACGTGCACTAGATGCCTTGTAGGGCTGTCTTCTTACCTGGTGACTTGTACACGACTGTGTCTAATTATAATGGGAACTAGACCATCCGTGACCTGTTGGGCCACCCACTATTCAGAGGTTATGAAGAATTCAAGCTAATTTCAATATGGCACCGAAATGAAGGTTTATTTTGAGATAATTTAATTAGATACTTCAATCCATTCGTGTCATTCATAATTCAAGAAAATATATTTGATTGTTGATAGGAAGTAAAAGGAGAGACCATTTCATTTTTCAAAAAAGTTAAGTTAGATTTTTCAGGTATTGTGATGAATTAGTTCATTATGTTGTGGTCTTTCCTCTTAAACCTTCTACAACTAAGAAACTTTATTTTTTTTCGAATTACCTACCATAACAAAGGC